CCCCCAAAACCAAAATTTTATTGCAGATTCGGGGTCCTCTCGACGAGCGCAGAACGACCCCGGTTTCAAAAAAAAAATAAAAAAAAATCTGGGTGGATTTTTGGCCCAACCGGTTTACCCGGACGGCCCCCCCGGGCCCAACCGGCCGGGCCCAGCCCGTCCAGGCAGGCCGTCCTCACTCAGTTTATTTATATATTATTAGGTCATTTAGCACAAGGACCTGGCAGTGTTGTTTTGGTGTGCTTAGAAATCATGAATCTGGTTGGAAAACTCTGTAGGTCCATGGCAACATTGCGTGGAGGATATCAGCTGGCACTCGTTGCGACAAACATGTAGCCCCCTATCGCATTATGTCGAAATCGTTGCAAGGAAACCTAATAATAACCATCAGACGGTAAAAATGATCTCAGAAACGAAACACAGGCGTTGGATTTGAAGGCCAGGTCACATACATATACCCTGGTGGGGTCATCCCTTTCTTTACGATCGTTCAATAACACGGAAGACATGTGTGTGTTAGCTACGGCATGGTGTGTACCAGCCCCGTCCCTTCTCCTGATCCGTCAATTTTTTGGAATGAAGAACACCAGTGCCAGCATGGGTCATGGATCTGCTAAAATCAGGGTCTCCCTTTTTTGAACACCATTGGGCGGAACTAGTGGAACCAGCAGGTTGTCCCACAGGCTATCCCACAGGCTGTACCACAGGCTATTCACATAGTCCCAGATTTGAACCAGTGGAGCCAGCCTGTCCCACAGGCTGTTGTACTGGTTCAAAATTGGTATCATTTGAACCAGCAAGTTGTCCCACAGGCTATTCACATAGTCCCAGATTGGAACCAGTGGAGCCAGCCTGTCCGACAGACTGTTGTACTGGTCTTAGATTGGTATCGTTTGAACCAGCAGGCTGTCCCACAGGCTATTCAGATAGTACCAGATTGGAACCGGTGGAACCAGCCTGTCTCACAGGCTGCTGCGTTGGTCGCACCACTGCGGAACCATTGAAACGAGGCCTCCCAGTACATAACACTGACATCGTTTTGCTGCTGATGTGCTCTTTTTTTTTTCCGTGTTTTTCGCTTTGATGACCAGGCGGCAGAGGCAGGTGTGGTGGCCGCTCAGGAGAGGGAACAGATGATGAGTGAGCGGTTGAGTCAGACAACTTCCCGGCTTGCTGTTATGGAAGCACAGGTATGAACCGGTTCACGCTGCCCACCAGGGACAGCATCAAGACCGTGTACTCACTGACATGACCGAATTGTATCCACAGCGATCAACTGCTGCTGTCAAAAGTTCTGAAAACAGAGTCGAAACTTAAATGAAGAAATTATATGGCTTGAAATCAATGCTCTGTCACGTTGCCGTTTTGCGGATCTTCTTACCAAGAAATTTATAGTGTTTTTGTAACTTTTTGCGGCTTTCATTCCTGCTCTGTTTTGTTGCAACGTGCAACAGAGTTGGCAGCCAGGAAATTGTACAACAGGCCCCAGGTTGGACGCAAGAGGACATATAGCATACTGCATGCAGGTCCTAAAATTTCAGGGTAGTCGGTTCTTGGCAGTGAGACCGCTGACAGGTCTTCCATCACGCTTTATTTCGGTGGCAAGCTATCAACATGGACTCTTGAGGCTGTAGCTAATTTTTGGGTCTTCTGGGGGGGTCTTTTTTGCGCTGATTTTTTGGGTTGCTCGTTTTGACTACTTGCGCTCAGTAGGTCAACATGCATTGTGGAAGAGCGCGGTTGGTCTCCTGCTGCCTTCATCTTGCCTCAAACCTTTGGTTTTCCTTGCAATTGTGTGTGTGTGTGTGTGTGTGTGTGTGTGTGTGTGTGTGTGTGTGTTGTTTAAAAGACTCCAGATTCTCTCTCGCATGTGTGTGTGTGTGTGTGTGTGTGTGTGTGTGTGTGTGT